AAGTCTGGCCTACAGATCCCTGAAGATCCCAACATCCTTTCAGGAGGCCTGCAAGGTCAGGACTATTTCCATACTCCTACTAAGGTATGATTTGTCTCCTCTCTATGTTGACATCTGCACTGTGGGAAGCTTAGCGTGAATCGAGGCAGCCACACCGAGCTGTACCAGTGGTAATGATATTCTTCGGTGCCACATACAGTTAAACAACAACAAAAAAGGCAGTTTCCCTTAGAATGTCTTTGCTGAAGCAGTAAAAATCCTTAATTGTATTACATCTCGACCCTTAGGTACCTATCTTTATAATGGTCTGCATGACAAAATGGGAAATATTCATAAAACATTTCTGCTCCACACCCAGGCCTAGTGGTTGTCTCAAGAGAAAGCGACTGTGCAGTTGTTGGAGTTGTAATATAAACTGGTTGCTTTTCACCTGCCTCCTTAGCACAGCAGGCAGCGCGTCAGCCTCATAAACTGGTTGCTTTTCCCATTTTGTCACCATTTTGACTTGAAGCAACAACTGGTCGACAAACTATGGTTATTCCAACTTGGTTACCTGACAGGCATTTTCTTTCTTTTTTTTTTTAATTAAAAAAAATGTTTATTTTTGAGAGAGAGAGAGAGAGAGAGAGAGAGAGAGAGACAGAGTGAGAGTGGGGGAGGAGCAGAGACAGAAGGAGACAAAGAATCCAAAGCAGGCTCCAGGCTCTGAGCTGTCAGCACAGAGCCCGATACGGGGCTCGAACTCACAAATGGTGAGATCGTGACGTGAGCTGAAGTCTGATGCTTAACCGGCTGAGCCACCCAGACGCCCGAGACATTTTCTTACAGGTGAACAAAGTGAGATTGGCACTTCAAGGTAAACTGACAGTGTTTGTGGCTAATGATAAAAACTGAGCTTTGGCATGAAGTCAGAGTTTGGGAAAATTCATATTCACCATGGGGGCTTCTTAATGTCTAAAGCCTTTTCTAGTGAGACTGGTAGAGATATTAATCCAAGTTATTTTTTAAAATACTAGATAATGACTTGTGACAACTTTTGGAAAAGTTGCATAACGTAGGGAACCGACAGTTTTCAAGTTACCAACACACAATGTGACAAAATCATGCAACAGCGAAAGATCCTTTCAAAGTACAAAAAGGACCAAGGACGTTACAGTAACAGAATACAAACGTTTAGTGGACACGGTTTTAGACTCCACAGGGCAAATGACTTTTAAGAAACTATCACTTACTAAGTTTTGATGCACTACCAAAGACAAACCCTCACAATTACCTGAAAATGCTATTAAATACTCCTCCCTTTCCAACTATGTATCCGTGTGAGGTCCGATTTTCATTTCCTTCAGCCAAAATAACACAGTGCAACAGATTAAATGCAAAATCAGATGTGAGAATCTGGCTGTTTTAAGTCCGATAAGATTTGCAAAAAATGTACACAAATGCCACTCTTCTTGCTAACTTGTTTTTGTTTTGGAAAATACTTATTTCTCATAGAAATGTCTTTGAGATGCGATGGGTTCAATATTGCTATTTTTATGAATTTCTCAATATTAACCTCTAACTTGGCAAATATTGATAGGTAAGATCCCATAAGAAAAACTCTTGGGTTCTCAATCACGTTTACAAGTATAAACAGGTATCGAGACCACAAAGTCCTAGATCGGCTGTCGCAGAAGCATCTGTAAGCCTGTGAGTATGGTTAGCCTGGTGGTGGTTGTGCATGCTTCTCTGATGCTCTCGGGATGCCCTGCTCCCACTACTCTTCTAGGCCCTGTCCGTTCTCAGTGCGTGTCCTTGGGAGACTAAGCATACCACAAGGCAACACATCCTAGCCCATCTACCACTAGTTCCTGCCCTGGTACATTCTAGAAGTTGCTTGTGAATTACTGGAATGAGCAGCCCAGTACAGTACTCTGGCTCTGGCTGGCTCTGAAACCAGTTTCTACATAGTTTACACAAGATGAACTGGAGTTACGTTTGGGAGAGGGGCATTCCAAGTCTTTTTCTAAATTTCCGGTTACTGTCAGGTTTTGGTGCAGGGGTGAGTGTGTTTTATGCGCTGTATTTTTCTTAATTCATCCCCAACTCAGGTTGTAGAAATGGCACCCTAGCTGTGCTGTCTATGAATACTACTACCAGTTTCCATGATTTTCAGATTTTATTGTATTGGGTATTTTGAAGAGAATGTGGATGGAGATTCCTGGGGCTCATCTAGTTTGTGGCCATTCTAACTGAAAATCCATTTTCAATTCAGAAAGAAAACAAAAAACTTGCCTGCTCTGGGCTCATATACAGTTTGGTCCCTACTTGTCCTGTGTGTCTGGCACATGCTGGCATTGGGGTCAGAACCATCTGCTCTTCCTCATCCTGGTCCATTGCAGTCACTAGTCCAAAGTCTCCGACCTTGACCACATCGTCCACTGTAAAGAATATGTTGGAAGGCTGGAAAAAATAAGATAAAGGTATGGTGGGTGTATATGGAGAAGAAGAGAACTGAAGAGAATTATTTAAATGACTGTAGAAGATATATACAAGAAACTAGATAGTCTCAAACATGTTTCTCTTTAAAATGGACTAATATAAAAATAAAAGCAATCATCCAATGTTGAGTAAGGAAAAGGGAGGGGTGACAAAGGGAGCTAGCATTGATTGAACATCTATTTAAACTCTTAGAGATTCACATTCTCCAGGACCCAGTCCTCAATCTCAGTATTCTGGACTCTCCTTGGGCAGGCTTTTTATGTTTATGACTTAAGCCATGATAGTTAACAGTAATAATAACAGCAAAGGCATACACAACACTGGTAATGCACCAGTTCTAAAGCAGTTCACCACTACTGGGGTGCCTGGGTGGCTCAGTCAGTTAAGCGTCTGACTTCAGCTCAGGCCATGATCTCACAGTTTGTGAGTTCGAGCCCCGCATTGGGCTGTCTGCTCTCAGCGCAGCACTCTCTGCTGTCCGGAGCCTGCTTTGGATCCTCTGTCCCCCCCTCTCTCTGCCCACCCACCCTGCTCATGCTTTCTCTCTCTCTCTCAAAAATAAACAAAAATTAAAAAAAAAATAAAGCAGTCTACCACTATTAACTCATGTAATACTTACAACCGTATTAGTCCTTTTAGACCCCCATTTTACAGATATGAAAACTGAGGTCCAGAACAATTAAGTAAATTGCCCAAGGTTACCCATCTAGCAAGTGGTGGATCAGGGATTCAAACCCAGGAAATTCAAGTTCAAGTTTCCCTAAGAAAAAGACTTCTGGTTCACTGCCACAAGGCCAGCATTCAGGACAATCATTGCCCTATGGTAGCTCATCACTTCTATTTGATGAATGAATAAAACAGACTGACCTTTGGGTTTGTGTCTGAGAGGGGGAAGTAGGCTACCAAGGAGAATAAGAGCTCTTCACTACTACCTTGTGCTGCCTCTTCTAATACCCTAGGCTCCCATATACTCCCAGACCACTGTCCTGAGTTCTAAACCCTCACATACAACTATTTGTGGGATATATCCAACCAGATTTCTTGTGGGTTCCTCCAACTGCCCGTGTGAAATACATCATCGTTCCTTCAGCACCTATGCTAACCCTGGCTAACATAAACACTGTCGAAGCCCTTGAAATAAGGAGAAAGGAAGTCATTTAGCTCATGACATTGAATGTCACTGGGCCTCCAACACTGCTAAATAACATTTTACTCCGGGGCGCCTGGGTGGCGCAGTCGGTTAAGCGTCCGACTTCAGCCAGGTCACGATCTCGCGGTCCGTGAGTTCGAGCCCCGCGCCGGGCTCTGGGCCGATGGCTCAGAGCCTGGAGCCTGTTTCCGATTCTGTGTCTCCCTCTCTCTCTGCCCCTCCCCCGTTCATGCTCTGTCTCTCTCTGTCCCAAAAATAAATAAAAACGTTGAAAAAAAAATTTAAAAAAATAAATAAATAAATAACATTTTACTCCTAAACTGCAAAATACGATTCTACAGTTTCGACTCTGAAGCAGTAAGTTATTGCACAAAACCCAAAGTCTACAGTAATGGCATCCTGCTCTCCCCCAAATGACTCCATGTGAGAGACAACAATAGACTGTGCTGCCTTAGGTTTCATCTTTCTGCCTCCCTGCTTCTTTTCTGGGGTCAGTTGTTATTTACTAAACACTGTAACGGACTTTTTTTTTTTTTTTTTTTTTTGGTTTTCCAGCATCTCCCCCTGTGCTTCCACCAGAAATATCCTGACTTGCCTTGGGGAACTCCCTTCTTCCCAAGTGTGCACCAACCCCCGTGGTTCGTGTGGAAGTTGTCCTGAGGCTACTACCCCAGAGGTTATATAAGCCAGTCACATGGTTCCATCCCCTGGCTAGGAGACTGGGTTAGGGGTGGATATGTGTCCTTGACTTATCAATTAGAAAGAAACCCAGGATTTCTGATGAATATTGGGGGAAAGAGATACTTTTGTTCCCATGCCCTATCCAACGACCCTCAAAGACTTACAACATGAAGCCCTGAGAACTGCTGATACCTATCCTGAGACCGTGAAGGGAAACCATGCCTGAAAATGGAAACACGAAATGGCGATGGGGTAGGGCCAGGTTCTGCCTCTACATCTCTTGGTCCTAGATCAAGCTTCACCTGAATCTTGGATAGTTCAGTTATATGGCCAATACATTTCCTTTTTGGTTAAATCGGTACAAATGCTTTTTTCCCATAAACAAAAGAATATTACAAATAAAATGGTATGAGCGTACAGAATGTGCCAGACATTGTACTAAGGAACTAACAAGTGAACAAAACAGACGTGGAAACCAAAGGATAAATAATACAAGTGTGATGAGAATTTAAAGGAGAAACACCAGGTTCTATGAGGACACAGTATACCTGAGGAACTGCGAAAAGCCCAGTGTGAAGCCCCAGCTAGAGAGAAGAGACTAGAAGCCTGGAGAACTGGGGGATGGGGAGCGCCAATGACAAAAACTGGGCAAGGAACAAAAGCTGGGGAGTGGAAGGGCCGCAAGGTTTAACATGGCTCAGAGCCTTGGGTCAGAACGAACAGAATGCAGACCTTTTTTACACTGGGAATAAAAATTGTGGGAGTAATTTTTCTGGCACACTGGAAGTCTTTAAAAACAAAAGGTCTTGGGGCGCCTGGGTGGCGCAGTCGGTTGAGCGTCCGACTTCAGCCAGGTCACGATCTCGCGGTCCGTGGGTTCGAGCCCCGCGTCAGGCTCTGGACTGATGGCTCAGAGTTTGGAGCCTGTTTCTGATTCTTTGTCTCCCTCTCTCTCTGCCCCTCCCCCGTTCATACTCTGTCTCTCTCTGTCCCCAAAATAAATAAACATTGAAAAAAAAAATTAAAAAACAAAACAAAACAAAACAAAAGGTCTTTACAAAGGAACAGACTTTTTGATTTCTAGAAAAACTAAGGGGAAATTGGAATTATTTTGGTGGATAGACAAACGCAGAAAAAACCTTTAGACAACACTGTGGCATTAAACAAATATTCACTAATATCTCATTAACATTATAAAATCGGCAGAAGGATACATCATCAGTGAAAACATAATTACATTGCCTTTCAACTTGGAATCTTGTGTGTACAGTAAGTGCTAAGTACAAGAAGAATGTGTTTCTAACCAGATGATAAACGTTTACCGTATTCAAATAGCCAGCACCCTTTGGTTAAGGGGATCTGGCTTCCTGGAAGTTGTCTTCTCCCTTTCAACCAAAAGAAATCATCTCTGAACTTTTCTTACAGTGCAAAATAACTCCTGCTCATCAGTTTGGGCCCACCCTAAAAATCACTGAAGCACAGTGATTATATATACCTCAATAAGGATCACTTTGGAAAAGAGGAACTATTCCTAATTCTTATCCCTGTTATTCCAAACTCTTAAAACATATTCAAGGATTAAAAAAACTACTGGTGATTTGAGAAGAAAATAACTTGTCCAAGTAGCTACTTTGGTGCCTGAAACAAAAGTGTGTGGTCACGTGCAACAAAACTGAAAATGGCTGCAATCAATAATTTTAGCTACTTCGTCATCAGGAGAGTATTTATATATTCCCTACACATGTGCTGATTGATGATCGCTGTGAGCGTATGGAATACGGCCGAAATTAGCCAGGTAAAAGTTCCATATACTTATTTCAGAGACACACATTGAAGAAATATTGAGTATTTTAGCAAGAATCTTATAGAATTTAGCATATCATATTGCCACAATATTCAATACCGTATATACCAAAAATAGAATCAAAGTTTTTAGAGCTAGAAACAATCATGTGGCTATTTCCTTTCTTTCCCCATCCAGCTTCTCACACCCTTCCCCAAATGGCTAATGCGGAACCTATGTCTGCCCTTCCTTCGTGGGTCCTTTCACCAGGCTACTCTGGGGCCCTCTGGAACTTATGTCAGGGTTACCCAAAGCCATAGGAAAAACAGGGTATATCTGCTCAGGGTGGATTGGTCCTTTTCATCAGGAGGACCGGGAATACTTTTTACTGTAAAATGAACATAAGCACATTATAGAGGACAGGGTATGCTCTGCCCGAAGTTTTCAAAACACAAGACTTCTTTTTGCAGAGGTTCCTTCAGGCTATTTCCCCTGACCTCTGCTCCCTTCTCTGATGCCTTTACTCTCCTTTGCCCGAGGGCACTTCAGTTAGAGACCGACAAATATCGAAAGAACTGCTCTCAATCACAGAATGTCAGACTGAAACCCCTGGGCGGTGTTCCCCGAATACAGACCTTGAGGTCCCTGTGCATGAGCCCTTTACTGTGCAGAAACTCGACGGCCTCTGCGATCTGCAGGAAGATGTGCAGACACATGCTCCTCTCTCTCTCCTCTATGGTGCACCGACTGTTCATCCAGTCTTTGAGGTTTTCCTTTCTGCACAGCTGCATCTGAATGTAAAGATATACCTTCGGTGAACTGGGCTGGAGCTTTTCTGCAGTGTTTTTAGTGAGATCTAAACTCAAAGTGGTCGGTCTTGGAGGAGAAATAGAGAAGGTAGGTTCGGAAGAAGATTTGCTACTGGAATGCTTGAAAGGAGTCAGTTTATTAGCACAATGGTTGCCAATATGCAGGCGGTCAGTTTTGTGCTCTTCTTTCCTGGATGCATTATCGCAGCCAGAATCTTCAAACACTATAGAAGAGGATGTTCGCTCCCTTGACCTTCCATAAAGGGAAGCTTCAGAAGGACAAAGTTCAAAGGAGTGCCCCTCCTCATTGCCGTCCATGGTACCGTCTTCCATATCACACTCTGTAAGGCAACTGTCCTGGAGGTTGTAGGCTGCATCCACTGATTCGCTGGTATCTCCGTGGTTTGTTCCTGATAATTCCAGTGGAGAGAACTGGCTCTCAGATGAACTTGTCTGGCCACAGGAAATCCCTACTGAAAAAGACCTCCTTTGTGAAGAAGGAGCTATGATCTCAATATGTTCCTTTGTAGAGAAAGGGTCCATTCTGCGTATTTTAACGGATGGTCCATCCACTGGACTAGGAGAGCTGAGTGGCCAGTCTGTGCTACAAGTGGGAGAGATACAAAGGGAAGAGAGGGAGTATGTGCTGATTAAATTATGTGAACTATACTCTTTATTCTAAAAGCTTCGTCTGTAAGAAAGCCAGTTACCAAATGACAAACAACACACAGATTAAATAAAAACATGCTATATGTGACAAAGGACAGTCATATTCCATCCATTTCTTCTAAGAAATTTAAATTGGAAAGCTTCGTTTTATACTCGAAGCCATTATCTGTTGTGCCAGAGCAGCCAAGGCCTTTATGCAAAACACAAGGCACTGAGGGCCCACCAAAGACAGGATTCCTCAGCGGCCGTGATTCTGAATCCCTCGTCCACACTGGGCCAGCAGCTCCCAGGGCCTTGAGCTGAGGATCACCTCACTGGGTCCTTCCATGGTTTGGCTACTGACTGCGTCTATAACAAGTGCCACCTGAACAAATGGCTTCATGTGGATCTGGGGCTGTGTTTGGCACACGTAGGCTGGGATTTAATCCCAGCTATTTGGTGAACAGTCTGTCTGCAGCCTGCCTCTTCTTCGTTCTCATTTAATCCTTTTTACAAGAGCCTTCTTTCCCAAGATATAGGAATTATCTGCAGTAAGTTTAAGTATTTTTAGCTGCAAATACGTATAACCTACTTCGAAAAAGAGTTGTGACTTGTTAACTACTGAGAAACTAAACATCTAAAATTTAAAAAAACTGGAGACAAAAGCAGACAATCTCTCTTGATGAGAAAAGCCAACGTAAATCCCTCAGTGATTTACAATTTGTAGAGCCCTATCTACAAAGAATTTCAAAAATTCAGGTTCTAAAAAATAAACTTTTCAATTAACAAGTGGCTAGAGAATGTTCTAAAACATGACAGAGAACAGCAGTTTTTCCTAAAACAAACAAACAACACACATCTCTAGTTACAGAAATGATATTTTATTCACAGAAGGAAAAACTAGCCTAAAAGGAAGTGCTAGTTTTTAAGTCTATGTCTAACCAAGTTACCTTTCATCTTTCAGCCAGATTTCATCCATTTTTTCTTGCCACTTCTCTGGTGGTGCCTCCAACCAAGCATTGAAATATCTTACAATTCCTGGATGGTCAAGCTTGGCTAAGGCTTTAACTTCTCGCATTACCTTTTCCCGAGCCAATTCCCTGAAATATAGAAAAAAGACAACACTGAAGGTTGCTCTTATCTGAAAAAGTAATCGTATCTAATAGTAAAAAATAAGAAAATAAAAATCTCTCTTGAATGTAAAATTAGAAACAGAGGAGTTAGGGGCTCCTGTGTAGCTCGTCAGTTAAAACTCTGACTTTTTATTTCGGCTCAGGTCACAATCCCAGGGTCATGGGATTGAGCTCCATGCTCAGCACGGAGGCTGCTTACGATTCTCTCTCTCTGTGTCTCTCTCTCTGCCCCTCTACCCCATTCATGCACTCTTTCTCTTAAAAAAAAAAAGAAAAAGAAAAAGAAAGAAAGAAAGAAATGAGTTAGCCTAGTGGCACAATTCTAAAAATCCACGTGGTAGGTTTTATATTTTAAAAAATACACGTATTTTATGGGCACCTGGGTGGCTCAGTCGGTTAAGTGTCGGACTTCATCTCAGGTCATGATCTCACAGTTCGTGAGTTCGAGCCCCACATCCGGCTCTGCGCTGACAGCTCAGAGCTTGGAGGCTGGACCCAGCTTCAGATTCTGTGTCTCCCTCTCTTTCTGCCCCTATCCCTGCTCATGCCCTGTCTTTGTCTCTCAAAAATAAATAAACATTAAAAACAATTTAAAAAATACATGTTTTTAGTTTTTTTTCTTCTAAAAATAAATGCTACAGACATATCTATTGTCTCTTGGATGACTAAAAATGAATGACTACAGACCGTTAAAGATTAATGTTTAATGTTTGTTAAATCAATAAAAAGAGGAATAGGTGTTAAGTATTCAGAAAAGGGAGCTCAGAATGGCAGCTGAGGAGGATGGAGAACAAACACACTGGTACATACATAATTGGCACAGCACATATTATGATGCAAAAAACCTGTATTACCATGTTTGTTTGAGGCAAGTCTCACATACTGAATATCACAGGCAATGAAGTGTATTAGAAAAGTGTCTGCTGGGTCGCCTGGATGGCTCAGTTGGTTAGGTGTCTGACTCTTGGCTCAGGTCATGATCTCAAGGTTTGGGAGTTCAAGCTCCACATCAGGCTCTGTGCTGACAGCGCATGGGATTCTCCTGCTTGGGATTCTCCCTCTCCCTCTCTCTCTCCCCCTCCCCAGCTCACGCTGTCTCTGTCTCTCTCAAAATAAATAAGTAAAAGTGTAAAAAAATTTTTAAAAAAGAAAAGCATCTGGATTCGATTTTCTGCTGTGACAGCTTTTCTGATGGATCTAATCTCACATATCTAGGGATCCCACTATCACCTGAAACAACATAATGAATGCAAGTGACGTCCTCCTCTCTCCCCAGGAGATGGATGGCCACTCCCACTCTGCCCTCTGTGCTTGGCTGTTGTTGTCCTACTCTCCCAATCTGAGAATCCTGCTATATTTTTGAATTCTTCAACTTCTAGGTCCCCACCTTCAGTTACCAAGTCCTATCAGCTCTTCCTTTTCAATTCATTACACTCATTCGTTTCTCACCCGTCCCCACTACTGCGCACAAATGTTCCACATCTTAGGACTAAACTTACAAAAAAAAAAAAACAACAACCCCAAAACACCCAAACCTAAAACCTAACAAACATTTATCTCTGACCCTTTCCTCATGTCAGCCACTTATACGTACCACCTCCAGAGCCACCTCCACTTTGATCACGTCACCTCTCTACTCAAAGACCCAACTGTCTACGAAACAAAGTCTAACCCCCTTGCTTGGCATGTAAGGTCCTGAAACCCACATCTTACATCTCCTCCACACTCCCCCATCCTTACCCTTTACTCCACCCACGCCAGAATGCTCACTGTTCTCTGTGCCACCTCCAAGTGCTTTCCCTAGAGCCCTTCTCGGGCCATCTGTGTAGTGAGACATCCCTCCCTCACACATCCGTCTACT